CAGAGGAATGGGACTTGGGGAATGTGTGGAGTTCATTTTTGGCATGCCTACCAAACAGGTTGACCCCCACAGAATTACTTCTAACATTCAACCATTGTGCCAGGCTAGAGCAACACTGCCGACTCCTCTGCGCATGTGTGCTTAACCCTGATAGCTCTCCTTCTCCCACCCAAGCAGATCCCTTTCATGTTAAGTGGGCTGTTATTAACTGCCCGATCAGTTTACACCAGCTGCAGACAAGCAAATTGCCTAAGTCAAACACTGAGAGAAAGGGGCTGGCCTGGAAACCTCTGTCAAAGAAGTTTAGAGGTATAGTGGCAATTAATTACCTGGTGGAATCCAGTGAACTGGCACCCTAGGAGCAGCCAGAGTATTCTTAGAAGGATTAACCTCAGTAAATATTTAGATACTCTTTGCCAGCACTTAATGGGGGGAGAAGTTATAGGAAATCTAAGATTGGTACAGAAATAGCTGTAGGAGGAAAGATCATTAGGGTCTGACTCTTCTCCTTCCCCTTGAAACAACAAAAGGCCAATGTCCAGCTTTAAGAGAAACATCTGTGCTCACAGCAAGCTGGTGCTGCTGAAGGCCAAGAGTGTTCAGTGCAAACAAGCTGTTCTGATTCTACTGGTCACCTTTTCAGTCCTGGTAACCTCATTCTTAAATGAAGAACTCATTCTTAAAATGTCACTTTTGGCCAAAGCGGCTTTCTGGGTGTCTAAAAACAAGACAGTGGCAGAACTGGCATTAGCCTTAACTATTAAACTATAGGACTAGGTTAACTAAGCCCATCATGGAAAGAGATTTCATAACAGCATGTGCTTTGTTGGAATTTTTTGGCATATCTTGATTCTGCCTTCCACCCCACCCGAACATCTACTTAAATGTTTGTTATCTTTGGTCTTTGACAGAGATGCAGAAGAATGTGAATAGAAACATTGTCATAATACTATTTTCATTTGGACATATCTTGTCTGTACTTCAAATCTATTTCTGGCTGTCTATTGATGTCTCAAAATTGTGGCCTTCATGCACTCAATATTTTAACTATTGTGAGTCTAGTCACTTTAAAGAGTTTTGGCTGGTATCTATGGTATATATTCAATAGGGAACCCATTTTCAGGTATTAAACCACGGGTTGGAAATTATTTTGGCTGGAGGGCCACTTAATGAGTCTTGGTGTCCTCTCGAGGACGGACCACACTTCTTTCTCTTTCTCTGTCTCACTCACTCTCACTCTCAGATCCCCACCCCACCAAAAGTGCAGCTTGCCCCAGTACACATCCTGCCCAGAGCTGCAGCACATACTGATCCCGACACTGCCTGGAGCTGTAGGATGCCCCCATCCCAACTCAGAACCTGCTAGCCATGTCCACAGCTTATGCCAGCACCTGCCCAGCATGCCAGAAGCAGCACTGTGCGGGCACTGGCACCAGCTCTGGATGGACTGGCAGGTTGCAGGTGGGGATTGGGGTGTCTGCCTGGGTCCACAGCTGATGCGACCTCATCGGTTCTGGGGAGAAACAGTCTGCCCACCCAACACAGTGGAAACAGCCCACACAGCGGCTGGAGTCAGAGCCCATGGATGCCCCATGAAAGCCCATGAGTTCGCAATCACCTGCCCACCAGATGCAATCAATTGGTGGGCCGGATCCAGCCCATGGGCTGTATTTTGCCACCTGGGGCAATTTGACTGCTAAAGTTTTATTAAAATTCATGGGGGGTGGGGGGCAGGGGTGTTCTTATTGTGACCTAATTTTTTTTTTTTGTTTAAAAATTTATGCTGAACCTAAAAAGATTGGTCATGAAAATGGTCTATTTTTACTGAGGTTGTCTGATTTGAAAATAAGAGGCTTCTATAGAAAGACCACCACAATCTTCCCTATAGTGTGTGTCTGAAAGATTGTGTTTTTCCTACAGAAGCTAGTTAACCAGCCCTGCTAACTTGATTTAAGTGATTTTATTTGAAGTGAAGCTATTGAATGACTGAAACTTAATCCTTAAAACTGAAAACCCCAACTGCTTCTAAAAACAACTCTCTAATCGTTGGTGTTTTGGAAGTTAGCTTTGTTTGAGGCACAGGATTTTGGAGACCACAGTGTTAACTGTACCCAGCTGTAATCCTGCACTGCCTTAATGTCATTTGAATGTGCTTTTAGTGTTATAGTTTTTCCTTTGAATAAATATTTGTGTTTGTAGTTTCAGACTTAAAAAATAATAGTAGAAAAGGCTTATTTAAACCCAAGGCAACAGTAACTAAATGTATGTTTCTTACCATGCCATGCACAGAAAACTATACTGAGTGCATTTCAAGCAGTGTTAGTGGTGTCTTGATGGTGGAGCTGGGGAAATCAGGTACAACTAATAGGGTGCATCTACATGTGCAAATAATGCAAAACTAATTTACTCTAGAATAAACTATCTTGGGCACATGTCTACACTTGGCAGGGACATGAGAGCAGATTTGCTGCTCCTAGCACCAGACTGCTCCCACGCCCTGCACCAGGCCCCTGCAGCAGACAGGGGGAGCTCTAAGGTCTGCAGTCACAGGGCTAGCACTGGGAGAGTCTTGTCTCCCAGCACCAGCTCTGTGGACATGGGGCCAGCGCTGAGAGACAAGAATCTCCCAGCACTGTCCTCATGACTGTAGAGTGGCACAGGGAGACAAGAATCTCCCAGCCCCCACTACCTAATCATGATTGGGAAGTGGGGACTGGAAGCTCCCTGCTGCCAGGGCAGGGGACATTGTCCCCACCTGGGCTCCAGTGGCAGCTCCCAGGGGCAGGGAGAAATCGCCTGCTGCCCAGCTGACCAGGAGCACATTTGCTCCCAGCTGGCCATCAATACATGTAGATGGCCAACTACATGTGGTCCCAATAAGTAATCTAGAGTAAATTTGCTACTTGTAATTACAAGTAGCAAATTTACTTGTGATTAGAGCAGATTACTGCACAGTAAGCATCTGAACATGTAGACAGTGACACTTACTATGCCGTAGTTAGCTCTAATCCAGAGTAAAGCATCTCGTGTAGACGCACCCTTAGAGGGGTGAGAGCTATTTGCTGCAGTGCTAGAACAATACTTGGGAAAGCTTAGGAATGAAACTTGGCAATAAACTGACAAGGATACTCCTGTGGCTAAGGCGGTGGACTGGGATTTGGGAGACCTGGTTTCAGTTTCTGGCTCTTTCTTTGTGACTTGGACATACCACTTGGGGTAAGGCTGGCACTTAAGAAGCCAGGCCAGACAAACCTGTCACAAAATGGGAGGGGCAGATGATGGTAACAGGAGGGTTAAGGAAATGCAAATGGAACTTTTCGAACAAGCAGATATTAAGTGGGATATTTTAGGTACATTACAACAGGGACAGTTTTTGGGCTGCGAGAGCCTGCTCAGTTTTTGCAACTTGACCCTTGGTCCTCTTCCCTTTGTGTTTTTCCATCAGCGAACCAGGGGTGGCCATACTGCCTGGTCCCATTCCCTTTGTCTCTCTTGACTATTAAAAGCTTTTTTATAGCAACTGTCTTCATCAGGTTGTTACACAATCTCAAGCTCAGGCCTCTGTTTTGCTGGGCTAGTAGCTGCTGTTGTTTAGAAGAGGTTTAAAACAGTGTGTTTTTAATCCTTCTCTGTCCCCTGAAGCGAACTGTATCTGGACATAGGAGAAAACAGCAGCCCTTGGCTCAGCCATGTGCAGTCGTCACTTCAGAATATGTTGCTGCTTAGGCAGAGCTGGATCCTGAAGTGCTCTGTTTACCTGGGTAACTGGGGCAATATATGTTTCCTCAACAGCTCACTTAGGTGACATGGAAAGACCTGCCCTTTCTGTATGAAAGGTTAGTTCATTTTCCATGGCCCATTCAGGCTGATGTCACAACTGGAAATCTCAGCAGTGCCAGTGGTTTGTGTGGTATGGACACGCAACCAGCAGGGCCAAACAACCCTCGGGAGGTGATGACATTCCGTTGCTACCAATCAAGGCTGGGTTTGTGCTGGCGACCTGGAAGTGAAAGGGCCCTCTGTCCCAGCTTGAATTCTGAGCTCTCTCTTGAGCTGTGGTTTCAGCTGCTCTCCTGTTGAGCAGCACTGCTTGCTAAATATAAATGGGAAATTCCACTGGAAATCAAAAGCTGCTTTTTGTAGAACCATCTGAACCTCCTCAAAGGAGACTAAATGATTGAAAGGTCACCATATTGGTACCACTGAGAGGAAAGTTTGCTGTCAGAAGTATTCCGCTTTATATCCTGAGCAGTTGGAATATGGTTCATTTTATAGTTTATTCAATACCGTGTCCTTTACAGCTAGATGACTGTTCTGAAAAGCATTCTGAGGCCTGTCACTAATTTCAGACAATTGCCATATGTCCTCGCATACACCAGCCCCCACTACCTTACAATAAGGCACACCCCTCGTTTTGGGAAAGACAGAATGAAGAAAAAAAGATTTTTACAGGGTTGTGACTGCATGGAGCTGGGCCTAATCTTCAGCTGACTTACCCTTCCTGTCCTGCTTAACTAAAAGCTGAAACCCTAACTGCTGCTGAAGACTGGTCTCCATGGGTGCATCAATGATTTTTTAGAAGAGCAAAAGAGTCTCCAAAACTGTGAAATAGAAGAGAGGTCACAGCAGCTAGCAGAAAGCAGAATTACAAGGTTAGCTTGATTAGTGGAATATTAAGACCATTAAAAATGAGAGAACAGAACGCAAAATGGTGATCTATCTAGACAAGGACTTTTCTCACCTGGCTGATTGAGCTGAACTTATTATGATCATGATACATCTATCGCCAGCAATTTCCAAAGCTTGCCACAAAGTGTGTGTGTGTCTGTATACTGAAAAAGAAAGTTGAATATACACAGGAGGTGCATATTAAGTGCAGCGGTGTTTACTTGTAGGAACACGTATTATTACCAAAACAGTTTACTGGGGGTGTTCTTCAGTATGATGCTCTGACCATTTAAGATTTATCTCTAAGACGTGGCTTTTGTTTCTTTTAACAGATTACAACAGCAGCGACCTAAAAACAGCTTGCAGAAAGCATGAGCTTTATGTTAGCTTCCAAGACTTAGGATGGCAGGTGCGTGCAGTTTCTTTCTAAGCAGACATTCATTCTGAAATGTTATCTAAACAATGTCGTGGTAATTTCAATAGAGGCTCCCAGCACACTTTTTAAAATGTCCTTTGTGCCTACACACTAAAAACCAGCCACTGGGGAGGCCAAATAAATATTGATAGCCTGGGAAACTCCTGGAACCCACAGGTAGTTGGGATTTTTAAGATGCTTAAATGTGCAGTCATTTTTTCATAGTTGCTAGAAGGCAGGGTAGTGCTGAGGCCTGCATAAGGTTATTTAGATAGATCCAATTCTGTGCCCAGCATGCATGCGTATGCATACATGCTTGCACTCATCTGAACTGCTACATGGACACCTTCATGTCATTTTGTAGACAAGCTCCAAAAGCTGGTGATTCTGGCATGTAAAGTGTATACCACAGCTTCTTCCTGTAATCTGACAGTGAAACCAAAGAACAAGAGAGGCAGAAACTGAGCCCCCAAAACTCAGCCTGGCTTGCTGCAGTGATGGGGTGGGGTGAACCGTAAAGACTGCTGCTTCTTCCTCTACTACAGCTGTTTAGACTCACATTGACATCACTGCATCCATTTCATTTAGTTCATAATTCAACCTTTTCTTTGGGAGGCAAAGGGATACAAGGTTGCTTTAAGAAAACTTTTTTATGCTGGTTGCATGATGGTAAGACCCAATCCCCTATGCCTTAAGTGCTATCTGGACTTATATCTGAACTGCCCTGGGGGAGGCAGAGAACAAACCATCAAAGCATGCTTGACCATCCTCTTCTGTATTACAAGTGCCGTCTCAAATTAAAGAAATGTCTGGAAGACCTTCACTACTTTTATACCAAACTTTGAGCCCAAGGTTTACCTGCAAATATATTATTGGCAATTAAGCACCTAGGAGTCAAAATTAAGAAATGGCTCCTAGAACGTCCCTTTTAGGTAGGTTCTGTGTATGGTGTACAGCTAAACTAAAGTACCATTGGTGCCAGTATATAACTTGACTCTTTTTTTATATTGTGAGCTCTAAAGTAAACTTATTTAGGTAGGAAGCAGCAGTTTTTTGTATTCCAAACCACATTTCTACAGAGGCAGGGGAATACTGATCATTCTTCTACAGTACTATAATTATGCGCTGCTACTTTAATATGCCAGGCGTATCACCCTTACTTTTATAAACTGGCAGTTCTCAAATATTATAACCGGGATTATATCGAAAGGTAGTCAGAAAAGATGTTTTGAGGGTGCTTTTTGGGGGTTGGTTGAGTGTTTGGGAACGTCACATAAAATTAGCCTTTTATGCACTAATTCTGGTAGAAGTATTTCAGATAAAACCCAAAATGTTCAAGTTGGTGCCTACATGAACTGTAGGTATAGTTGCCTTCTGCTCTGTTACTTATCTGGAGGAGCTGCCTAGCTGGACTGAGTTGTTCAGCTGTGCTAATTTCTTCCTTCTCTTGATAAGGAGAGGGAGGCTGGGTTCTTAGCCGTCCTTGCTGCTGTGGTTCATTGTATGAGAGCAGGACCACAAAGTTCTCAAATGAAAAATCCTGCAAGTCACCCCACTGCCCATTTTTGAAACCCCCCAAATTTTGGTTTACAGCCAAAACGTGGTGGGTCTTTGGCCTTCACATTTCCTGGACCTTTTTTTTTTATTCTAACCCCATTCACAAAAAAGTTAATGGAAAACTTAAGCTAGGCCTAATGGCTTGTATAAATGACATTATGAAATCTGCTAACATGCAACTTTAACTTATGTCACTTAAATCATATCTGTTTACTTCCTAACAAAGGACTGGATAATTGCACCAAAGGGCTATGCAGCCAATTACTGTGATGGAGAATGCTCTTTTCCACTCAATGCACACATGAATGCTACCAATCATGCCATTGTGCAAACTTTGGTAAGTATAATGAAAGATGAGTGCTAAGCTACAGGAAAAAAAATGGAGAGCAGGGTTTGACTGTCCAAATTATGTCTTCTTTTTTGGAACAGGTCCATCTTATGAATCCTGAATATGTTCCCAAACCCTGTTGTGCACCCACCAAACTAAATGCCATCTCAGTTCTTTACTTTGATGATAATTCTAATGTCATTCTGAAAAAATACAGGAATATGGTGGTAAGAGCTTGCGGGTGTCACTGACATACCCACTGACTCGCCTGGAACTCCTTGGTTACATCTACTGGATGTTGGAGAAACTCCAGCAAACACTCTTGTGACACTCCCAAACCAATACTTGTGCCTTATGAGAGGAAGCTGCAAGAGAACCTCACTGATACCTACCTACTTCGTAACAGGAGAAAGTATTGGATTTGTCAAAAACCGAATCTGTAACACAGTGGCTATTCTGATCTACAAAATTCTGACTTGTGAGGTGTACAAAAGAAAAGTCTGCCCATACAAGTTTTGTTGGCTTGGATCAAGCTTTGTGCGTCTTTTAAACTCCCTGGAAGAGCAGCAGAAACTTAACTAGCTGGTTGATTTGCACTTCATTGTTAAGAAACCACCATCTGCTACATGGAAACAGTGAGACTTGAAGACGCACATACTATATTTAGGTTCACCAAGACAAAAAGCAAAGTGTGTCGTACTTTAGTGTTAGGACTGTGTTTTATGCTGGATAATCTGAATTTCTAATTAAGGATAGGACGTGCCTTCCATCTAAAAGAAATTATTGCATCTCTCTGATTGAACTCTTCCAAAAATCTGAAAGATGGGAAACAGCTGCTTCAATTGTGCCAAAGCAAGCCCCTCAAACCATGTGTCCTCCAACTACACAGTAAAGCATAGACTTAAACTGTACGTTCCGAGTCAGGCTGTACTATGTATTGCATACATAAAAAGAATCCCAGACACAACGTGATCTTTTGAGTCAAAAGTTCAACTGGGGAATTATCTTGTAAACTTGTCAAGTGCCTTTTTTTAGGTCCTATACCTCCTGAAACTGCTACGTCTGTCCCTTTTTATTGCAACGACATCCACTGCCTCTCACATATACCACCAGGGTATTTTTGTATGATTTTAGGAGCAATTTTATCCCCTCAGCTGAATAGCCACTCCATTGCTGAAGGGGTAATTTTTTGTAAGCTTTCTACAGCAGAGGTTCCCAACCGGGTTGGCTGCCAGACCGAAAGTGACAGACATACTGAGGACTGGTAGCTAGCCCTTTTTTATGATACGTATAAAAAAGGGTTGGCTGCTGGTCTGCAGTATGCCTGTCACTTCTGGACTGCAGTTTGCCACTCCCAGTTGCTTCTAGTCTGTGGTTTGCCGATTCTTGACCTAAAAAGGTTGGGAACCCCTGGATCCATAGTATTATTTGGCCAATCTCCCCAAACGTCACTCTAACAAAAATCACATTGAAAAAGTTAGATATATTCACATTTTGGTCATGCTCCAACTATAGAAGTTTTATGCCCAAAATTAACAGTAACAGCTAATTATTTTTGATCAATATTAATCTGGTATTAAATGCACTTACCTCTTAAGCCTTGCATTTAAAAAGAGGCCTTTTGTAAATACAAGCTATAATTTATTGCACTTGTCACTGTATATTCATTGTGCTGTATCATTTATAGAAAGACAGCTTTTTTTAAAAAAGTTTTTATTTAGAAAATCTCAGTGTAAACAATTGTACCACTTTGATTTTATACAAGAAACTCATGAGGCAAAGGTTGGGCCACTCATGAGATTGTGCTTCACTAGAAATGTTGTTTTGTTTAATATGGTTAATAAAGGCTTCCTTTTAAGACAGAAGCGTACACTCTGATCGAATACATCTGCCATATAAGACTGAGCTCTTATTGTAAACTTTCCACCCGTACATTTTTCACTCTTGACAGATAGCATAAGGTGAAGTCAAAGGAGTAATTTAGCGATTAAAAAGGTGACTTTCACTGCTCCATACGATGGACACAAAGAGTGTCTTGACTTAGTCAAGCGTTGCCGGTAGACACCTGTAACTGAGTTTCTGTACATATGGGAGGGCAGCATTTAGCCCTTGATTTGCAGCTGCACCTTTTTCCTGCATTGTAAATTCTTTGGCTTATGTCTAACATATGGAACATCTTACATCAGTAATTTCATTCAAGGCAACACAACGGGAAAGACCGTAACATTCATATATGAAGCAACAATGACATTTTGGAAGAGATGCTTAAGGCTCAAAAGGAACTGGAAAAATGTTGTAGACAAGTTCTGCTTCTCGTTACTGTGAGACAACTGCTCAAAAACTAAAGCATTGTTCCACTACATTAAGTAGTAAAAAATAAGCAGCAGGAGGGGAGATGAATTCAAGATCTTGGGGCAGGTGAGTTTAACAAATATGGTACAGAAACCAGAACTGTTTCTAAATGCATTTCTGCTTTTCTAGGAGATGTCATCAGCTCTAACTGATCTATTCATCCTAAGGAAGTTAGTTACAATAGTTCATTCATTTTAGCTACATGTAAAAAGAGCATAAACTCAAGTCTCCAGCTGAACAGGAGTATCCTGCTTGAACAGTTATAAAAATCCACCTGATGTACACGTACACTATGGCAACCGTAATATTCAGGCACGTATTAAAAGTACCATTACTTTCATTATGGCTAGACCTCCCAGGATGAGAGAATATTACCAGGAAATGAGAAGGTAATAATGGCCTGGTATCTTCCAAGTGTGAGTGTGTGTGTGTGTGTGTGTGTGTGTGTTTTCTTTCTCAACCTCCTATTACTTTCCATTTCTTAATCAGCAGCTATATTAAGACAAATGAAGTTTTTAGCTTCAGTTGAAAAGGCAATGTTTGTTAATATAGCTGTGGCTTTCACCTTTCTAGTAACGGTGGGCAGTTTGTAAGGGGTACTTGGGTAGCAAGTTTTTAGCCAAATCCAACCTGAAGACAAAAATAATCTACCAGTTCCCTTAATCTGATTTTCCTCATCTATTTTAGTCTCAAAGCAAACCATTTACACTTCACAGGAAGACAGAAACGCACTAATACAACTGATGCTAAACATATTATCCAATTGGACAGTAACTATTTGTTACGAGTTTTCCTCAACAAGCATCACAAGAGTCAGTACAGTGGTTTTAACACACACACACACACACACACACGGAAGATACCACAGTTCAGTACATTTGGTTTTCCAAAAAAAACACTTCGCAAATCAGTACTATGGATGTGATTTAACTCCCACAGCTACTGTACAAGAACAGCCAAGGCATAAGTATCCAAACGTGTTTTACAATTCATCTCTTGCCTGCCGCAAGACAAAATTATGCAGCGATTTAAGATCTCTGGCTCCATTGTGTTCGCTGACTTTCTGTCCACCTCGGAAGAGCAAAAGTGTTGGATAGCCACGTACCTTTAAAGGAGGGAGGAAGAATAAACACATGACTTCTCAGTTCAGTGACATCATTCTGACATTAAACTTGATTTTGAAAAACCCCAGGGTGTACAGAAGGCTGGGCTTCTTGGTGTAAACAAAACCAGGTTCAAAGACAGCACCATCCCATTACTTCTGAGTGGTAAAATCAGTTAGGAGTAAAGTGCCCCTACACACCAGCAGAAACGCCAGCTCTAAAGGTCTGTCTCAGAGAAGTAAGGGCAGTGTGTTCTTAGAAAAGTTTTCCCACACAAATGCAATGGCTACTACATTTTTGGAGGGTTTCCCACTAGTAAATTACAAACTCCTAATGCATCAGTTATCAGTGTGAATAGAATCAAGCACAGTCCAGCACAAACTGAATTTCACCATCCTCACACTGCAGGATTTGGATTAGTGACAGAACAATTCAGCCTACACTGAAGTGTCACAGAATCACACTGGAAGGGACCTCGAAAGATTGAGTCCAACCCCCCTGCTCTGGGCAGGAATACTGCTGAGATCAAATTATCTCAGCAATGTGCCTATCCAGTCTCCTCTTGAAGACTTCCAAGGTTGGGGACTGCACCACCTTCTTGGGAAGACTCTTCCAGATTATGGTCACCCTTACTGTAGAGAAGGTCTTTCCTTGCATCCAACCTGAAACCATCCTCTACAGTTTATGGCCATTGCTCCTTGTCCTCCCCTGAGGCGCCCTGGTGAACAGTTTTTCTCCCAGCTCCTGATATTCACTCCTTATATTCTTATGTTGGAGGGGCCACGTTCTGGAAACTTCAATTTGGGGTACAAACTTAACTAATTCATTTTAAACCTGTCTTCACACACTCACAGAAAATCTGCTGCAGACGTTCTGTTCAGCAGTGCAGTCTACTTTGGCTATTTTAACATCATTCAAACCTGGAAATTGCTCTTTGGAGAGGTTCTCCCAAGTTGGAGCCAAGTTCTTACAGTGACCACACCTATAAAACAAAAAAATAGTCATTTGTTTAGCAAATGTACCTTCCTGCTTAATCGCCAGCATCTTTGGGATATCCATGAACTGTGCTCTAGTTGCCCTTTCCTCCTCCTTCCCTAATGTACAGGGCAGAAAAACCCTGTCCGATTGTGCCAGACTGACAAGGCAAACCAAGGGCATATTTAAAATAAGCCAAGTGATTGGAAAGCGTCTCACTTGTACTTAGTTGCTTCTGGAACAGGATTCAGTGGATTGATGCAATAAAATCTCTCATCCATCAGGAAAAGGTAAAGCAAACAGCAAAGAGACTGCCAATATTTAAAACAAGTTGATTTAATGCCTTGTATTAAACAAACGTTTTGCTGCAACATGATCTGTCAGGCTGTAAAGAAGTTGCAATTAAGGTACTGCCCTGTGTAATATATACCATAACCCCCTTCTCTACAAACTAATCTTATGATATTGCTTGGTCATTTAGCAAGAGGTGTGGATCTGCTTTGCTTTTAAAGTCAATTATGATGCAAGGTACACAGCACAAAGTTGATGACTTAATATTTTAACAAGAAAACAGGAGTCATATTTATCTCAACCCACCTCCTTGCTTAAACCTTGGTGTCCACTTTAAAGGGGCACTCATATATTTTAACAGACTTCCCCTTTCCAAATTTAAGCTTTCACCCATTAGTTGCTGCTCTATTTATCAGACAGATCTGAGAGTGTCAGAAGGCAGGGAGCCAGGGGAAAGGCTGGTAGGGTCATAGAATTATAGAATCAGAGACAGTTAGGGGTGGAAGGGAGCACAAGAGGTCATCTAGTCCAACCTCCATCCTCTTTCAAACCCTGCCTTCAGGTAGTTGAAGGCTGCTATTAAGTCCGCTCTCAGTCTCCTCTTCTCTAGACTAAGCCCAGTTCCCTTAGCCTTTCCTTATAAGTCACATCCCTCAGCCCCCTCACCATTTTTGTTGCCTTCCACTGGACTCCAATTTGTCCACATCCTTTCTGTTGGGGGGGGGGGGGAACTGAACACAGTACTCCAGATGTGGCCTCACTAGTAATGAATACAGGGAAAGAAGCACTTCTCCTTGACCTACTGGAAACACTCCTATCAATGCAGCCCAGGATGCTGTTAGCCTTCTTGACAACAAGAGCACACTGCTGGCTCATATTCTGCTTATTGTCTACTGTAACCCCCAGGTCCTTTTCTGCAGAGCTGCTGCCCAGCCAGTCAACCCCCAGCCTGTACTGGAGCATGGGATTCTTCCATCCTAAGTGCAGGACTTTACATTTATCCTTGTTGAACCTCATGAGATTCCTTTTGGCCCAGTCCTCCAATTTGTCTAGGTCACTCTGAATCCTAGTCTTACCCTCCAGCATATCTACTACTCCCCCCAGTTTAGTGTCATCTACAAACTTGCCGAGGGTGCATGCTGTGCTATTTTCTAGGTTGTTAATAAAGACATTGAACAAAACCCACTGCAGGACTGACTCATGGGGCACTCCACTTAATACCAGCTGCCAACTAGACATTGAGCCACTGATTACTACTTTCTGAGTCCAATGCTCCAGCCAGTTTTCAATTAACCTTACAGTCCATTCATCCAGTCCATACTTCTTTAGCTTGCCAGGGAGAATGTTGTGGGAGACCATATCAAAAGCCACT